CAGGACTGCTTCTGCTATTGTACCGCAACTCCTATAAGGCAGAGTCTAAAAAAATCCCATCTGGCAATATACTATTCTTGGTTATATAACTCCATTATGCAGTGAGACTGAGAGTGATGGGCAGGCTCCTACAGCAGGCATATTTGCACAGTTTGATCCTTTATCAACCTGGTCATTACTTGAGATGAGAGTTGCAATCCAACACAGCCGTAAGAACTTTATTGTCCTAGCCTGCTTTAATAATAGGTTTCTATTTTAAACAAGAAGAATAACTTCATATATACTGCTTTTAGGTCCATATACACTTATACTGGACATCCACCTAGCCCTGCTTTTTATAAAGCACAAAGCTATTATTACTCCCCCTGAGTTTCTGCTTTTATCAGAGGAATTTTACCCATCACTCGTGGGAATTTTAACTTCTGTGCAAAAAAATGTTTGGGGTCAGGCATAAAAAACACAGAAATTCTTTTGTTGCTTTTGGAACCTATCCAAAGTCAATGAAGCCTTTATTAGTAATGTACCATGGTAGCTGAGAGCAAAATACAAGCAAATATCAACGCATGCAGAATATCACAAAAGAAACAGTTTAATACAGTGATTCTGCTATCCCTGTGGTGTCTTTCATGTTGCGGGAGAATGCAGGATGGGGTGAAAGTGGGGGTGCTCGTAGCGACCATCGGGATGTAACTGTAGCAATAGAACTGTTTTGTAATTCTCAGCTTCTTCAGACTGCCCGCCTGCCTATTCTCCTGCCTGTGGTCTTCACATTTTTCTCGCAAAGAACTTTGTGCTATGAAACTGTTGCTTGTTGCGGTGAAGTAAAGTTGTCATTAATTGATAAAGTCATTTTATATTTGTTTCTGGACACACAGGTAACATGATGGATGTAATCTACTCTTTGCATGTAACCAAGAACTTAAGATGCTATCGGAGCAGTGAAACATTGACAAGTTGAGCATATTGTGGTCAATCTTCACCTTTCTGAAAACCTTTTGGTAGCTATAGAGGTAAAACCAAAAATATGCATAGAGACCAATCTAACCCATGTATGCATTTTGAATTTTAAGTAGATGCAGCTGACTTTGCCTTTGTGTTACAAACTCGAGAGAACGTGTACAACTCTACCATATGAGTATTTTGAGGGAGTGTTTGTGAAGGTATAGGCTGATAAGGTCCACTTATGGACAGTTCTAGTTGTGAGACCATTTTTAAAAGAGAAATATAGAGTAGCTTTGGAGCTTGTCGGGCACTTTGTCAGGATTACAGTTGATCCAGCACGCAGAATTGTATCACACCTAGGACTAAGAGTAACGTCTAACCAGACCTTAGAATGGCCAGACTTAACGTACCTACGAAAAGTCAATATACTAGTCGAGGTCAGGGACACAGAAGGGGGACACAGCGATAACGGAAAGGAATACCAGAAGTCAAGGAAGCCAAAGTCAATAATCAGAAGCACACGATCAGGAACGCACTCTCGGATTACCATCTAGGTGAAACCACGACATGGCAATGAGAAGAAGTAAAAATGTATTTAAATAAGCCTCCTACAGATCCAATTGGCTGTAACCGGCCTTTGATACCAGAACATGCGCGCTCGTCCTTTGCGTGACGTCACATGCACGTTGACGTTGTCATTACCGTGGGCGGACGTGGGGCTATAGAATGGCGTGGATCCGCAGCGCCCCGGCGTCCACCAACATAATGCATGAGTCAGGTATACTGGCGCATAACTGCTAAGAGGCACTTCCGTTATTGTCAGGAAAGCAATTACTACCGCAGATACCACAAGGTGAGGATGAATATGTTACACACTTGTAGTAAGAGAGCACAAATTATTTTATTTTTAAAATAGACGTTTACAGTTTATGTCGCAATGAGAAGATATGGCTTTGCCAGTAGAGTGGAAAAAACAGGAGTAAGGGATTAAAAAAGATGGTTTGGTTCCCAGTCCATTTTTCATCACTCAATAGAAAGGGAAGAAAATGTTAAGTGCCGCTTTTCCATGAGCTGTTGGCCTTGGAGAGGTGATAACATTGTGTTCTGTATTTATGGTTGAAGTATAGAGTGGGGAAGCGTGGATAGGATTTCCAATTTAATGAGGAGTTTAAGGAATGGGCAAGGTTTATGTAATTTGTATTAGAGGTAAAGTTCATATATTTGTTGTTTTTAAAAGAACTCCTTGGGCCTATCTGTTGACATTTTGTGGTCAAAGGGACACTCTTTGTATCTAAGCAACTGTAGTTTAATGTAGTGGTCACAGTGTACAGAACAGTCTCACTACTCAATTCTTTTCCATTTAACAGTTAGATGTATGCAGCTCCTAGCCATTCCTCCCATGACTAAGACGCACACAATCACCCTTAACACTTCCTGAAAGAGAATCTAAAATTTTTAGGTTCCCTTATTGCACAGTTGGTTTAATTTAGAATGTCTTATCGCCTGTTAATAGCTTGCAAGAGACTACTGCAACATCCCGTGTGTGATTAGAGTTCAATCAACAAAGCAGGATATAATAGCTTCTAAAGTAAACACACTGTGATGTCAAATCTGATTGGAAATTAAACTTTTTTTTATGTAGGCTGTGTGAGTCACAGCCAGGGAAGGTGGGCTAGGGCTGCATAACCAGAAATAAAAGTTATTTAAATCCTAAATCTCAGAGAACTGAGCAGTGAGACTGCAGTGACATTATCTATACATTAAAACTGCTTCACCAAGCTAAATTTTTTTGGCACTTAGAGTATTCCTTTTTATGGTAAATAACGATGAGGTGCGTTGTTTCTCACCACTAGTTATATGTGTTTCCCAAGCACATTAGATTGTCATGAATTTCACAGGAGTGCTTAAACAGCTTTCAAAATTTGAACTAGTAATAATTACAGTAAATGTGTCACATTATATAACATGTGTTTTACATTTTTTCAAACATTGATTTGATACTATGTTTCCTACTTAATATTTAGTAAATGTTAATAGAAAATAATATAGTGTTAAATTATTATTCATATGGAACCAAGCTATCTAGCTGTTATAATCACGTTAAAACGAAAACGTTATTTTAGTATAGAGACGGCCATCTTTGGAATGAAAAACTTTCAGCGGCACTTCCTGTGTTAATGTGACGTCATTACCCAAACAGAACCCAGGATGACTACAGTTGAGCTGATTAGTTCCCAGCATTCCAGGGGGCAAGGATTAAAAAAAATATAAAAACAAATGTGTATAAACTCTTTGATGATGCTGAACTATGGCTGCTCACAGTAAGACACTTTTAACTATAAATCATTTGATTCAAGAATTTGAAAAACAAAACAAAAACACTGTGATTGTTTTAAAACTGCAGTTTAATGGTGCAAGAAAAAGAAAATCTTGTGAAAAAGCCAATTTAATTACTCAGGTGGGCGGACGAACCTCGCTTTATTTTTTTTTGTTTTTCAGCTATTTTGAACAGAAAAATCTTTATTGAACAATGTTTCTAATCCCCCCCCCCCAAATTTCTGAAAAATTAAATCAAATAAAAAATAGCTATTAGTTTGTCTGCCTTCTCTGTTTCACACAGTGCACTTCCTCATTCTTTATTTTGATGTTATTAACTTATTAGTGTGATTACAGACAGATGGACAAAATTGCAGGGGAGATAATGAATGCCTTGCTCGGTATGGCAATTATAACAAGCACTAACTGGCTACATAACAGTGTGCCTCGGGCAGCCTAGTAGACTCTAATTTTCACCCATAGACGTGACACCGCAGTATCGCTTACTGTTATTACCAAGTTGAACTCCATAATAGCTCACAGTGCAATTCTGTGAATTTACAAAGGATATACTTTTATCACATAATCATATAACGTATACTTAGTAGGTGACTGAAGATATCAAAAGATATAATGATATGGATTTTATTTTTAATTATGCTCAACTTCATAATTTGTAGTGTATGTCTTCTGTACAAAGTAAAAAAATGTTGTATGCTATTTTTCTGAGGGTAGCACTAAAATTATACATGAGGGGAAAAGTGCACCCTTAAAATAAAATGTGCATGTTATTATTAGGAGCCAAATCCATTTTATGTAAAATCATATTAATTTGAAACTTTCTACAATCCAGTTAAAGGGGACAGGTGTTGAAGTGGTCTGTGGGTGTACATAAATGTGTGCAAGTCTGTGTGTATATATATATGAATGTGTTTTATTTGTTTGTCTGTGTCTATATTCAATGTGTGCGTGTATGAATGTATGTGTGTTCACAACTCCCACCTTTTCAAATGGACAAAGAGGGGCACTTTACATTTAAGGGGTGTGAGTGGGGGTGTGGTTAGGGGCTGGGCTTTTCTGAGAAATTTTAGGTGACTTACTAATAATGATTTTTGCAACTACATTCTACATTTTGCAACTTATTTTTACATATTGCTTTCTAAACAGATTGTACTTTAAAGGGGACACTCCACTGCTTAAATTAAAAATAAAATAAAAATCACCATCTAGCACACAGACCCGCAGTAAAAACATTCATGCATTTTGTTCTGCATTTTTTCACTGGCGATATTTCTAATTACAGCGTGCAAAATCTGCAGATCTCTTGTCTGAAGCCTTTGCAAGCCCTCCCCTTCTAAACCCGACCAGTCTTGTGCTTGTCCGCCGTGCCTCTGGAGCCTTCCTGCAGATGTATGCAGTTCCCTGTTGTTCCCAAGGACCGCTAGGAAGGGTGACCAGGTGGTCTATCACACCACACATCCACGCAACATTTTAATAAGTATTCTCATTACATAACATTAAAAAATAACATTGGGGAAGAATTTCCCGGTGCACACCATAATGAAAAGGACTGCGCACACCTATGCACAGCACGCAGCGGCTTTAATGGAATCTTGACAAATGAGCTGCCAAGGAAGACCTAGTAAAGAGCTTTAACATATGCGGGGAGGCAGGGGGGATGCAGGGGTGAAGCAGGGGGTAGGTGGGTGGGGGGGAGGGTGGTGCAAAATATCATTTTTCCTAGAAAAATGACTGCACCGGCACTTCAATCAACACCTATGGAAATTATACCCTCATAATTAAGTGTTCTTGCATAGCAATAAGTGGTCTTGCTATGCAAGAACACTTAATTATGAGAGTATAATTTCCATAGGTGTTGACTGAAGTGCCGGTGCAGTCATTTTTCTAGGAAAAATGATATTTTGCACCACCCTCCCCCCCACCCACCTACCCCCTGCTTGTTATGTGTTATCTCACATATATATTATTATTATTATTATTATTATTATTATTATTATTAAGTGTTCTTGCATAGCAAGACCACTTAATGTTATCTCACATATATTATTATTATTATTATTGTAGCCAAATTTACCACCCTAACTCCTCCCACAGTTTTTACACTACATAGACAGTAATATACCGAAACGTGCAGATTGTTCCCGATTGGATTGCTATGACTTTGTGGAACGTTTCGCCGAATGGTTCATGGAATATCGTCATTCTTGTGGCGAAATTGGTCCCATAGGAATGAATGGCAAAATGTTCAAAACTAGAGTGGGAGCTGGCAAAAGCTGAAAAATCAGGACATGATTTCTAAACTGCCACCACTCCCTCATTTTCAAGCCCACCTACACAAATCTTATATCAAAACGTTCAGCTATCCCTGCTGCCATTAAACATGTCCACGGCTAAGCCATTGTCCTGATAGTTTCCACAATATGACCATTTGTTTGCAACTCACGCCGTCCATTGATATTCATTGAATCTCCACTCTAGCCAGCTCAGATTTGAAGGGCAATTTCTAAACTGTGACTGTGCCTTCATTTTTAATACTTCAGAGACATACTATTCATCAAAATGTAGGTCTGGGTCTTGTGATTCTCACAATATAAAGCTCTTCGCTGTAGGATTTATACCTGTGCCAGGCTGGAGCAGCAAGTGATGTCATAGACAGGGCCTTTTGTACACCTGCTAATGTTTTTATAAATGTATGTTTTAATGTAACTGTGAAGCACTTTGGGCATCAACGTTGCAATTAAATGTGCTATATAAATAAATAATAACAGTTACTCAGCCCACTCCAGTTGTAGACTACTGGTGGAGGCAAGAACACTTCACACAATTTCCCCAGAAATTGTAGCTTTTCTAGTTACTCTGTATTATAATAAGATATATATCCATCTGTGCATCTCATTTTGAATTTTTCAAACGTTACTGTATAATGATATATACCCCAAACCTCTATTTATAACTGCTAAATAAATATATAAATAGCATAGTTTTTTTTGCAATCTTGATTTTTATTTATTTATTTTTTTGGAGATGGTCCATGCTGAAATGGGCATAATTTCTTTATTACACGTCTGCACGGAATGTCTAGAGCTTTAAAATGTAGACAGACATAACACGGCACTGATTTATATAACTGCAGATACATGGCTCTAGGTACCCTCTCTGTGCCAAGTCACAGGGGAAAATAATTACACAAAAGATATTGTAGCAAGTGAGAGGGTGTATTTTGGAAGGAGGGAAAGTATCTATTGAATAGACTATTTAAGAGACAAACATCACCTTTATATTTGTGATGAAATGTTTTTATCTCTGGTAAGACCAAATATGCAGAGAGTTCACATTCTGTTCCCTTGCAAAGAATACCCGTGTCTGTCACTAATGGTACTTACTGTCATTATTGGAATTAGTGCGGAAATGTTCCAAAAAAAAGGAATGTGTGAACAGATTAATAAGAAATCTCCTGGAAATGGTTTTACCTTCTAGTTAGCGATATCCTGTTAAATATGTTTACTATAGTGAAACAATCAAATGCTCTGTAACTCAAATGGAAACTATCACTTTAAATGAATGTGTGTAACAATAAACGGTGTGTTCTTTTAGTCCTGCTCTGTTAAAGGGAAAGTATAGGCTAGGAACAAAATTGGATTCCTAGCACTATAGTACTGTAAAGTGCCCCTTCGCTCATGTGCCCCCACAGCAAGCAAAGGATTAAAAACCTTAATTCACTTCCATTGAGCTGAAGTGGTCTGGGCGCCTTTAATGTCCTTTTAAATTCTAATTCCTGCATAAATAAAATCACCTATTCCACTTTTTTAAGCTTGATGTTTACTCACCTGAGTTACTCTAAGTACTTTTTTTAAAAGAGTATTTATATTTTTTGCTCCATAATTTAACCCATTATCGGTGGACACACATTTGTACAAGTCATCTTGGATTGGTACAAAGAATTCTGGGAGTAGTTCAGCTGTCAGTTTTCATAAATGGAAAGCTGGTGAGATACAGCTCCCAGGTACCCGTGCTCTGCTCAGAACATTCCATTAGTAACAAACCATTTGGAAACATTGATGCAGCTGTGTACCCACCTGAAACATACACATCATACATGTGCCTTGTGCAGGCTCTCTTATAATCTTCTACAGTGTATAAATACAAGTATAGCGGTAAGTAGCTTCATTCATGGCAAAGTAAGAATTACATTCTCCAGGAGGCTTATGGAACGTGTGTTGCAGCTGCTTTTTAGATGGGAGGATTGACTCAACAAGGCCGGGGGATTAGAATCTAACATGGACGATAGGTGGTTTTCTAACTTGTAGAAATTCCTATTAAAAAACAAACAAAATCTTAAACACAAGACAATAAATAGGGAGTAACTATATTTTTTACTATATTGTTATATAACACCCATACGATGGGCCTTACCCACATTATTCAAGGATGCTCCTATTTTGGCTCTCCTATTACAAAGAAACCAAATATCAAATTAAAGTTTAATGTCATCGATCCAAAAACAGTGTCATATCTGTTGTCATTGCACAACAAGAATTGATTGAACGAGGTCACTGACCAAGTTGCCAAAATATCTAACACATTTCTTAGCAAAGAGGTATTTCACATACAATGAATGGACTTGTCTTCTGTTACTAAACAAGATAAAGTTAAGTTAAACAAGTTCACATGCTTAATGTTGTTGAATTACAAAGGGGGCCGTGTACATACCGACACATACAGTACAATTCACTAACAGAAACCTTCACATGTAAAAGAAGTTCTTGTATCAGAACGTAATTATCAAAAATTAAAATGAAAGAAAAATTGAGATAATCACAGATTAACTGATGAACATTGATGATGTTTTTTTTTCCCTAACTGCGTTCAAACGTCCACTATTGTGATTCTCTGTTAATTTAACAAATTATATAATTTGGGAAACTATAAAAAGCAATAAGTAGATATCAAGTCCAATGTTACTACTGCAGACCAGGTGAAGTACTCCCTACAAAATGTTCCAGACTTAAATAAATAAATAAATAAACATAGGCAACTTTAACAAAATAAAACAAATCAAATATATATTTTATTAAAAATATATTTTATATAAAATATAATAAACACTTTACGTAAAGAAATATGCATAAATAATAAACTCAATAATAGTTTGACAAAATATATACAGGTAGCTAGGGCACATCAAGGAACACGTTTGTCTTGTAGACTCCTTACAGGTATTTCATTCTGCTTGATGTTTTCAGATACTTTTTGTTTCATATATATTTATGTATTGTTTTCTTAATATGTAATTTAACTGATCTACACATTATTAATTGTTCTTTCTTTCTCAGAATCCTTCATCGAGACAAGTAGTAATAGGGAGAGGACTTGAAGAGAACAGGTTTCTGTACTTGTTTTTTTATTATCGAATAATTAATACCAAGAACAGCAAAGACTAAAAAATGAACTAAGAACAAAGAAAATAGAAAACATGAAACGGGTAATACAACAAACCTGTTTACAGTAGTGATTACACTTTTGTGAGTTTTATCTATAAAAAAATGAATCCTTCATATAGTGATTTCTTCTCAAAAACCCTTTTTCACACAAATCTGTAATAATTTTGGACTCTCTGAGCATTCATTTAAATGGACATCAAGTAATTTGTCAGTGATAATCTCAAGAGGCCAAAGTTTATCCCCTCTTCAGCTCATTGAACGAACACAAAGGATTCACAGCAATTTAACTCTGATTTGCCAAATCCCAGCAGCAACAATCAGTTCTCGCCTACATTTATTACATTTCATTTAAAAGCTTGCTGTACATATTCTTTTTGTAGAGAATAATGCTTTAGAATAACAATTACAAAATAAACCCTATGAATTCATAGGACTGCATTGTTGTTATACACAGTGAGAGCATCTTAAGCTGGGCTCTCTGCTCTTTGGATTGCTGAGAATAAACTGATTCTAAGTAGAATTTAATTAATTTAGAAAATAAACAGTTAAATATTGAAACTGTAACTACATATTATGTTTTCTGTACTGCGAGTGGCAAACTTTACTCAAAAACATCTCCACTGGATTTAGTTTGGTGTCTGATTGAGCAAGGGGCAAATGCCACCTGGGCCTCTCTGATGCCTGCAGAAAATGGCCACCAGCAGACAGGAGAAGGGTGGCATGGCTGTCCCATTCTCCTACTGTGTGTCTGAGGCTGACATGGGTGATTTCCCTGGCTGGCACCTGTAGGATTGGCGGAGAACAGAGGGAGGGTCCCACTCTCCTCTACTATATCAGACCACTGCTGCGGGTTACTGCTGCAATGCTCTGATACATTTCCCGGCACCAGCTGGAAGAAGCAGACTGCACCCACTGGGACTGCAGATATACTCCATTTCCCACACTGGACTGCCAGGGAACTGGATTCCTTCCTCCGTAGCCCTATGTAAGCCTTATAAAGAAATAGACTTTAATGCAGCACAGTAACCCCAGTCACCCCACCGCAGCCCCTATCACCACGTCCCAGTCACCTCACCATAGCCCCTGTCCCCCTACCGCAGAACCTGTCACCACAGTAACCCCTATCACCTTACCATAGCTCCTGTCACCCCACCACAGCCCCTGCCACCACAGTAACCTTTGTCACCTTACCATAGTCCCTGTCACCCCAGCGCAGCCCCTGTCACCACAGTAACCTCTGTCACCCCACCACAGCCCCTGCCACCATAGTAATCTCTGTCACCTTACCATAGCCAATGTCACCCCAGCACAGCCCCTGTCACCACAGTAACCTCTGTCACCCCACCACAGCACCTGCCACCACAGTAACCGTTGTCACCTTACCATAGTCCCTGTCACCCCAGCGCAGCCCCTGTCACCACAGTAACCTCTGTCACCCCACCACA